CCCCCCCCCCCCCCCCCCCCCCCCGCTGCCATAGGACAACACTTGCAATCCCCAAGTATGCGTGTTTTGTTTCAACATCCGCCCTAGTCGACTTGGCGAACACCCTCGAGTGCGAAGACGTCGAGCACGTTTTGCTGCCCTCCATGACGAAGATAGGGCCACGCTGTGCGTCATGTTTCAATTATTGAGGTTTCGCCAGGACGCTGTAGTCGTGCTCATTTTCCAAGCATCGCACTCAGCGGAATACGTATCCTGGCCACCGGTTCTGACTGTGGGAATAACTGTGTACGCTCTGTGGCTGGAGTTCTTCGATGAGCCAAGTAATGACGTTTTCAGAATCAAACCAATGGATATCGGAGGTGGAAGCCCACTTAAATTCTGAACAAGGACGGGTGCGTTATCCTCTCTCGATTTTACCGTACCACTTGTTATGTTCTCATATATTCCCGTCCCATTTGTTGGCGTCGAGTGTTTGTTGAGTTGCCTAGGCCTTGTTTCGTGACACTGCGTTCCTCGTGTTTGGTCGGTTCTCGAAGGTTGGGTTCATGTCGAGGTTGTATCCCACGCCGGGCGCAACCATTGTGGTGTTTTCTCATTTATGTCTTGGGAAGGTCGGCGCGCGAGTGCGCTCGTCCTCCGCGCTCGTGTCTCCCATGTAGGGTTTGTTGCTGCAAGACCGCGACCTTCATGCCCATTACTCGATCGTGCTTGTTCCCATGACGCGCATGTGGTCCATGGATGGCGTTCATGCCCAAATTCATATCTGGTGTTTCCGATCACACGTGCCATTTATGTGTTTGGCGGTCGATGCACGGTGTTCATGCCCAACACTCATCGCCGTTGTGTCTGATCACGCGTATGCCCCTGGCGGTTGTTGTTGTGGTGCAGATCAAGGCGTTTATCCTTAACCACGACATTGCGGAGGACGAGATCGTGGCGATGAGCGTGCCCAAGTTCAACGAGACGCAGTTCAACACGGGGATTGCGATGATCCACTTCAAGTCGGACGAGTCCGTGGCGCGCGCGCTCGAGCTCAAGGGAACCTACATCGGCGAGAGGTGCGGTCCGTCCGCAAAAGGAGGCGATTGCTGGCATTGTCGCTGCTGTTGTGGTCTCTGTCGCTGATGTGGTTGGTTGTTGATGACGTGTTGCTGCTTGCTGTGGTGGTATTTTTTGCGTGATTTGATGGGAGTAAAGGTGAACCATTAGAAAGCCGTTTGTCACACCCCAGACAGAGGGTGTGCTGACACGCATGAAATGGCGTGGTGTTACGTTCGAAGTGTCGTGGTTCGAAGGTCGAACGAGTCGCAACGCCTTGGGCCTCTCCACCCGCGAAAGGAGAACCCAAGTTCGACCAAAACATCGTCTTTCCGGCGACACCCCGTCCCCCCGTCCCCGACTGGAAGCACGAGATTCCTTACCCTGCCCTCCCCCCCCCCGACGGTACCACAGGTGGGTGGATGTGTCGCGGTGGAACGACCGCAACAAGCCCAACCAGAAAAAGTCTCACAGGCAACAGATGGAAGAGACACGATCCGCGGTACAGGCCTCGCTCAAGGAGAAGCACCCGTCGTTGCCGGTCGTCTCCATCTCGGGGCTTCCCTTCCACAAGACGGAGGAAGAAGTCATGTGAGTGAGACTTGAGGCGTGACTGCCACCATAGCAGACCAGGGAAGAGTACAGATCGCGTTGGCTGACACCCAGAGAGTCGGTCTCAAAAAGGAGGCCTATATTCACACGGCGGTCTCATGAGCGATGTCCGCCGGCACCGACCAACCAGCGCAGAAAAAAGAAAGCGGACAATCTGCCGTTGAAGCCCCCTCCGTGAACATCTGCTATCCAGAGCGTAGGGTCGTAGATGTACCTCGGTACTTGTTCGTTGTTCTCTGGGCAGCTCAACGCCAACTTCGCCATGCTGGCGTTAAACAATCGGTCCGTGCTGTCATGCATGCATGCCCCTTCATCCGATACGATGAAACTAACGCTTTCCTCCCCGTCGTGTGTACGCGTTCTCCGGGAAATCGGTGGAATTTCGCTGCGTCGTTGTGTGTGTGTTCGTTTTCCAGAGAGTTCCTCGAGGCGAGCGGGGTACCCAGGTCTGCGATGTTGGAGGTGGAGATGCCCCTTTTCCTGCAGACCCAGAACAACACGGGAGCGTGCTGGGTGGTCATTAGCGATGTGAGTCCTCTGTTGTTGTTATGGGTATGAAAAACTCGATTCCAGTGTCGTTTTCGCGGCAAGGCGTTGCTTTCGGTCGTGTACATGTAGCTTTACCATTTGTTGGATCTTCTTCCGCCTGCACAGTCGCGACATTCGCTTCGCACCCTATCGGTCACCTCCCTGGACTTGAAACTCGAACGTGTGTTTTCTTGCATGACAAATTTCTCTTTGTGAGCATCGACCTTTGGCTTCATTTTCTTGACCTGATTACCTACGGACTCAAGTATCTACGACGATGGCGTAGTAGTATCGCAATATGTTTCACCACATATGCCGATACTGCCGGACTGAACCTGTCCTATCGCCCCCCGTATTTCAACCGCTGTCCGTATGTGCTTTGCGCCACTTTCTTTCATCGGTATTTGGCCGGGACCAACAAAACCCAACAGGAGAGCGCGTATGAAAGTCTCATGGAGTTGAATGGCGCAACTTTGGACGACAGGTGGCTTACTGTCGTGGACGCGTAATGCACAGCATGATCAATCACCCAAGGAGTTCGGAAGTAGCGAGTCCATGAAGATGTCGCGTTGGTTCTCACCTCTGCTGGTGTGGCAAGCTTTTGGCCTTGTTTTTTGTGCGCGTGGAGGGATCAGCGTTCGGTTTGTGCCTTATTTAGGCTGAATGGATCAAGTCGAAAGCGTGCGGGAGTGCTGAGCCACTCGTGTCTCAAGGCGGCCTTCAGAGATGGGGTGGTTTGTTTTCGCCTGTGAGCGGAGGTTGAGTCGGGCGACAGTAAGTGGTCGTCGTATTTGGGTCAACCCAGTCGTCCATCTCGTTAGTTTGTTTCGTGAGGTCGTAACCGAGCAGAGATGGATTTTCAAACGTGCACACGTACTCTTTTTTGTTGGGTCTCTCAACGCCTCGCCATGTCTGTTATGCACACGTAGTTGACCCTTTTTTCCAGTCACAGGGGACGTGCGATGACGAGATAAATGACTTGCGTGACACGTCGACACGCTTGTGTCTGGACTGGAGACTCATTGCGGCTCGTCGCGACGGTGCTTGGCTGGCTGCACACGCGGTATCGTGTCGAGACTTGATTGGCTCGAAGATTATGCGGTTGAGCAAAACATCAGTATTGGTAGCAGCGGGAAGACCGTGTGCAGGACCTGCTCGGTGATGGATTTACTTTGTGACATTTCTGAATTCCTGTGACGCAGAGGTTTGTCGACCAACAGAAGCTGCGTCCTACGATTCCTTTTATTTTTCTTCTCTAGAGGTCAAGACACCCGCTTCACGGACTTTGTCCACCAACAAGTCTCTCCGTCCACGTGGGGATGAACGACCACGGTCGACCAATCGAGCTCTCACAAGTGACGTAATCGTTGTCAAAGAAATTCATCACACCTTCACACCCAATTGACCGTATAGATGACGTCAGTCACCATCCACGTTCTTTCGGCTAGGACCGTTTTCCGACAAGAGCTTGTTAGAACATCCAGAAAACTGCGTACCACATATTTGTGGCTTGTCTAATCGAAGTGGGTCATTTCATTTTCACTTGTCCCCGACATACGCAAGAGAGGCAAGAGCATACAGCAGTTGACTGTGTACCCACAATGCCCGAGGCACCTTTGCCGACGAAGCCCTGGTCCCGCCGCACGTTGCCCCGGTCGCACACAGTGGCAATTGGCAAGGGTCGAGAGACACGCTGGACAGTAGCCCGGACGGCTTGCTCCTAGTGAAGTAGACCAACGGGTACCATGGCACAGGGGAAAAAACAACACAATCTCTTTGTCAAGTGTTCCACCAAAAAACAATCTTGTGTTGCGAACTACAAAACAACAGTCTGTCAACGACATGGGAGTCATCGCCCAGAGGACGGCAACTGGAAGGAATGGTGGCGGGAGACACACAAACCGAAGGATTTATTAGGAACATGATGATCCAGTACAATACATCGATCGCCTCCTTAATGAAGCTGTTCACATCTCGTCGCTGTCCCACCGCCCCTCTCGGCGCACCCACAGCGACTGAGACCGAAGATAAGACGTTAGAGCCTTGATGAGCTTGTCCAGCTCGAGGCTCGCAGTCGACGCCGCCACTTTGGCCCCTCCCTGGAGAGATGAAAAAACCAGCCAAAACATGCCACAGGGCGACCGGATGAGAAGGTGTGAGAATGTGTGAGGGTGGGAGGAAAGAGATTGGCTACCCAAACCACCAAGAGTAATCGCGCTACGTTCGGCAGTGTCGATTCAGCCGGAAATGGAACCAAGGGGCGACGGGATACATCGTCCGGAGTACGGGGAGAGGAATTCGGCCAAAGCAAAGCACCGAATCTTGTATGCACATCAACTAAGGTTCGGGTGATTTTCGTCTCGAGCGAGCGCGGTTGCCGCCACAGCAGCAGCAGCAGCAGCAGCAGCAGCAGCAGCAGCAGCAGCAGCATGCAGTTGTTGCGGATAACATTCACGTTGAGTGCAGCGCGCCACCGGCAACGCAGCACGACAAGCAGGTTCCAATGAAACCACATCTTAGGCGGCCTCTGACAACGTTACCCTCTCTCTGTCGCTCTGCTGCTGCTGTCGCTATCCATCACTTGTCTGCCCAACACGTCAAAGGAAGCCTGAACAAGGTGACGAGTGACTACCGTCGTAGCCGGACTGCGCCCGCACTCGCACAACATGAAACCAGCCAGATCCTACACACGAATGCCGCTACACAATTTCGTGTCGTCGCTAACCTCGACAAATGCATCGCCTTGCGCCCCCATGCCGGCTTTGTCCGCCCAGTCCCGTGCTTGGCGCGTGTCTCGGAAGTCTGGCGTGTTTGGAGTTACGTGCGTGCCGTCAAGCCTGGACGAGAGTTGCAACGGCCGGCCGGGGGCGGAGAGAGCCGTGGTTGGTACGGGCAAGGGTAGATGGTGGGCCCCTCTACGGTATTAGCTGTGGGAACGAACATTTATGGACAGATGGAGGGGGAGTTTCGACCCAAACGTCGCTCGTGACCCAACCTGTGATTTCCTCCTGGCAGTTGGAATTGCTAGGGATTACCGAGCAAGCTGGGGGAACCGGAGCGATGCTTGCGCCGTAGGCTGAAACCAAACATAAAACTGGGGGGGACTGGAGCGACGCTTGCACACAGCGCAGCTTGAAACCAAAACAAATCAGAACCCATCGTGGGCGCGATTCTCGTACTGCTCTCCTTCTCCTCATAGCTACGTCCCGCTTGGGGAGACTGACTCGCCTCGAAAACTCTAGCTCCCCGTCCCTTCCGAACCGGTTGAAGAGCGCCTCGGCGAGCTGCGGGCTCTGGTCTATCGTGTCGCGCTTGAACTGCACTACCAGGTTGTTACGCACCGAGTACCGGTCCGTCAGCAAGTCCCAGGTTGCCTGACGCCCCCGATGCCACGAGAGGGGTCGTCACAGCACGGGGACGCGGACACCAAGAGAAAAATGGTGAAGGGGTGCGCTCGTCGTCAGCGCGATGATGAAAAAACCTGTCGAAGCACAAACGTCGCTTGATCTGCGTCTCTGGCTAAGGGCTTAACCCTGGCTGTTTTCCGCCAACCACCAGCAAACTTGCAAAACATTTGAGGAACAAGCTTGCCAACTACTACAGGAGGACAGCCTTCTTCAAGCAACCGAATAGTGTAGGACGTGCTTCGCCGGGAGGCCAAAGCGGGGGGATGGGGTTGAACAACAACACCAGTAGTACCTCCGGCGAGGGCTTGAACTCCTGGGGTACGTCCAACAGCGCAGACCCCACGGCAGCGGCCGCCTTTGGTCCCCACTCTTCCGCCAAAGACAACCCTTGCGACGCGAACCCGTTCACCAACGGGAGCCCGGAGACCCTAACGCACACAGCAAACGCGCGCGAGCGAGAGAGACAGAGAGAGAGAGAGAGAGAGAGAGAGAGAGAGAGAGAGAGAGAGAGCGAGAGAGAGAGAGGGAGAGATCAGCATTGCCGACGACAAAAAAATGCAGGTGTTCCTAAGGTCTTGCACGAAATAATATCGGCGATGTTCTCTAGCAATAGGTGGTTCCGTCCTCCTTTCTACTCGGCCCTTATAAGAATCGCGATGTGCACTCCCAGTTTCCCGGTGAGTTGCACCTACCGGATTTGCAGTTTGCGGAGCCCCTCGCAAAGCTCGCAACGATTGGGGGCATACACGATGGAAACACCATGTACGTTGGGGTGCCGACGCGGCTAACACCGGGTCAGTGTGTGTGGTTATTCGACTTTGCCGCTATGACACGTCGGCCGCGAAACCAGAGCGAACCTCGCCACAGCAGTGGCAACATTTGAAACAATGGCACCAACACGAGGGCTTCGTGCACATGGCCAGCCTCGGAGCTTCTCCCATCACCAGTCTCCAACAGCGCGGATCGCCGCCCTACTGGTCAAACTCCCACGCCTTCACGTTGGCGACCCTGCACGACTCACGCTTTGGCGATTCCAGACAGGTTGTCGCCCAGAGCCCCCAAGTTTCCCATCGACAGCCCCAGCTCACGCAACTCGTTGATGAACGGCACGCTGTCCTTGGCGGGAAAATTGTTGAAGCTGATGATGACGTTTGCCTTTAGGTTTTGCAAGCAGACGTCGGCGCGTGGGCACGGGATGGGGCAACGCGTGAAAATCGGGTCGAACGGTTGAGGGCTCGCCGCCCATACCGATTTAGAGGGAGAACCCTCCAAGTGGTTGGTTTTCCATTAAAATGTTTGTGGCATGTACCCCGTTTCAAGCTATTATAGAAGAGAAACAGGAACCGCGCCCGAAAGAGACGTGATCGAGAGCGGTAAACACCCTCACCGCACCAATTTCGGCGTCGATGGTTTCGGCGTCGCTTAAACTTGGGGTCTCGTCGACGCTGCGTGTTTTAGTTTTTTTTTTTCTCCCATCATTGGACTCTTTCGTCTGCCCCACTGGCCAACACCTCCACTTCTAGTAGCTAGACGACCCAACCGGGGTCACACAGGAGGGGGGGGTTGGACCCCCTCCTGCGGTTCCTGGCTAAGATATTTTTATCGCAAGAAGGGTACAGCAATCCCTTCCCTCGCGACTTGCGAAGTCGATTGTGGTTTACTAACAACGAACTTTGCAGCGCGTCGCTTTCATCCTAGACCAGGATTTATTTAGTGGGAAAAAACCCAATCTGCCGGGACTCGAAACCATGACCTGACCCTTAGCAGGATGCGAGGGTACCTACTAGCCCACCGGGGCGACCGTATGTGGGTGCCTGTATTGCGGGTTGCTGTTCTCTCTCGGCGAGAAGACATGCACAGCACCAAACGAAACACTGCACAAAAACGAGAGCAAATCGAGCAGGATAATAGCTAAGAGTTCCGAATGCTAACTACCTCACTCGGTGGGCTAAACGGTGTGCTGAAAGTCCTGCCGGTAGACAACTCAAAGGCAGCCATCCAGATGCCGAACGACATGTCTTCAGGTCCCCACACCTTTCTCCGCCTGGCCACGTCCATCACCTCCGGGTAGCAGTTCAGCAGGACGTGCACCTTGGCCCCCAGGGAGTGGCCCACCCCGAAGAGGGGGATGCGGCGCATCGCTGCCCGTCCGTACAGCGCCTCCACGTCGCGGTACGCCACCCGAAAGTCGCGAGCGACGTCGCACGCCAGCTGGTCGTGGTTGAACTCGTTAAGTCGCACGCGGGTCGCCACCACCAAGAAGCCTTTGCGTGGTTGGCGAGGCAGGTGGGCAGGGCGGAGCCGGGCGGGGCCGGGTGGGCAGAGAAAGGCTGAAGCGAGGAAGCAAGAAGGGTCTGTGACGACTTTGTGCTTGTGGACCCCCCCCCCCCAAAAAAAAAGTT